CCCCCCAATCTTCTTTATCCTTCTTTTTCTTTTCCCCCTTCTTGTTACAGGAAGCAGTTTGACAAAATACACTGAGAAGTTAGAAGAGATCAAAAGAAGTGAGTATCTGCAGAGGAGCAGAATGTAACTTGTGGTGGGTTAGTTCCAAACCGAAAGAGCAGGGATTGAATCCCAAGCCCTCCATTAGCAAATGTCTCCTCCAATGATTCCCACAGCCATTTACAGGAAGAAACACACAGCAGTAGGATACAAAGATGCTTCTACCTTGATTTTTGGGTGCTTTTTGCTTTGTCCTGTGCCTTATTTCTCTGTCTCTCTTTACCCACTTCAGAAACCAGGCAGGCAGCTCTAGGAGTCTTTCCAGATCCTTCCTAATGCAACTTCTTGTTATTTAATGGAAACCAGACAGGGAGAAGTTCTCTGGACTAAGAAAACTAGACTAGACTCATCTGGGAAGACTCCAGGTGTGCTTCTGAGGCTTTATTTCACTTTTAGGTACTCTTACCTGTGTTTCATTTTAACATACTTGGGTTTCTATCACAATACTCCAAGATCTTGCTCATACCTGTGTAACTCATTGATTTCACCAGAGCTAAACACTGATACTTTGAAGCCTTTGGCTTGTTCTGGCTGATGAAAACCTGTCTGGTTCCTATTTCCCACTGAAAACAGGCCTTTAAGAAAAACTCTTACTAAAAAGCAAACATTTTAGTGCTATTGTCCAGATTATTCTCACACAGAGAGCCAAAAAGGCTCTTAAACCTAAAAAGCTGTGTTTCTTGCTGTGAAAGCAAACCCATCCCCATTAATGAGGATTAATTAGGATTTGGAACGTTCAGGTTTAATTCTTGGACCCATTTACTGTGTCCCTCTTGAGCTGGTGCTGTTCATATTAGAAGGCAGGTCCCTAATCTGTCACGTGAATAAATCTGAGCTCAGCTTTGTGCAGAATGCTCCTTTGTTGCTGGTTGGTTTGTTGCTTTGCTTTAAGCACCACAGGTCTGTGGGGAGAATCTAAAGAGAAATGACCTTTCTATCCAAAAGCCTGTGCTGCCTGACTAGGATTTCAGTGCTTGACACTGCATTGCCATCACTTGTTATCTGGGCTGCAGATCCTGTTGTATGGCTCTAGGTGGTTTTCAGCCTCTGCTCTGAAACTGATTTGGTTTCATGTGGGACTTCTTTTGTTGAACCACAGTTCTGGAACCCAGCAGAAACGTTCCCATTCTCTGTGGGCTGAACAGACACCTTCTGTTCCTAGGCAGTTTGGAAACTTCTCCCCCTTGGTTTCTCATGGATAGCTGACACCGTCTGGACACTCTAAATACCCACTACAGGCAACTCTCTGTCTCCTGTGTAATGTGAGAGAGTGGGATTTAATCCTGTGGAATCAAAACGAAGGGAGCTGGAACCACGGTGATTTGTTCCTTGGGAGGATCGACTTGAGGAGAGACACCAAGTCTTCCCCCTTCCTCTGGTGTCACTTCACTCCCTTCTGAAGCCCTGAGGAGCACATCCTTGATTCCACAATAATTCCAACCCTGCAGCAGTTCACTGAACAGGAAAATGTCAGAAAATTCCAGTGGATCTTCCAGGACAGAACTGGGTATGTTGGGTTGCTTCTATAGGCAGGAGCAGCACCTCCTCTGACCATCCTGATCACTGCTGGGATGCTCATGCAACACAGTCACACTGGGTTGTTGTAATAACAACAGCTTTAGGTTGGTTTTCCTTGTTGATAGGAATAATTCTGGGTGGTAAAGGTAAGACCTAGGTCACAAAGGATTGTTCTGGGATAAATAATCCTCACTTGAGCTGAGCAAAAACTATCCAGCAGCTGTATTGTGTGAACACTGTCAGTGTCTATATACATCCAGTGCTTCATAAGCTTTCTGCTTTTCTTTATCCTTCTAAGTTAAGTTGATTTCTTGCTCTTCACATGACTGAAAGGCTCTTTTTGCCCATGGCTGGGGTGGTTTAACCCTTACCATGTGGGTTTTGGGTCAGGCAGAGGAAATGTATCAAAGATAATTCTTGTTGTTGTTTTCATGTTAAGGGAAGATTTTAGCAACCTGAACCTGAGGCTTGAAACCAGCTTCATTTTCAAGTGCATTGACATTCTGAAATCTAGTTTATGCACAGGTCTTGTGCTTCAGCCAGCTCCATGGCTTGAAATGTGCACACTGCAGTGCATTGGCATATTTTGGATGGGCTCCTTTTCTATAGGCAAGTTGCTGAGTAGCAAGTAGGCACTTGCTTTGCAGCCTAATAGACCTTAGACAGGGTAGGATGTTGGATTTAGGAGCTCTGCTTGCTCTGAATGCTGAAAATCAGCTGGTTTGCCTCTTCAGGAGGCACATTTAAGAGGGAAGGGATAGGAATAAGACAAAACCAGAGATGAAAACTCGAAGTTTCTCTTTTTGTCTCTGTTTTGCTCCCACAGTGTGCCCATAGGTTGTGTATGGAGGTGAATCTTGCCCAAGCATTGTCAGCATTTGTATTAGGAAGAGATCTCAGCCTCCAGCATTCATGTGGCTCCTTCTCTAAACACGTCAGCTTGAGAGTTTCCATAACCTAATTTGGCAGTAATTTTTGGTGTGGTGGTTTCAGGTGTATGGATTTGAGACCTTTCTTCCCCTTTTCCCCCGCTTGCTTAAGCTAATGGAGCATTCAGCAGATGGTTGTAGAGGATTTAGGATTGCTTAACTGGCTGGATTTGCTGAAGGTCCTGTTCTCTGTTGCTAAAGTCTGTTCTCTGTTGTGTCTCTCAGCTGAGGAGCTGGAGAGAGGCCACTTGGAAATATCCTCCAACAGTTCCTAAGGATTTTCTTCATTAAATATAATATAAATATGCAAATATACAAAGGATTTTCTTCATTAAATATAAAAATCTCTGACTTCAGAGGTGGAGCCTCATAAGGGAGGAGGAGGAGGAAAAGAAAGAGCTTAGATTTCTTAGTGTGGCTTCAAGAGCTTCATGCAGAGCTCTGTTACAGCTGCAGTGCCTGAATCAGGAGGAATTTTGTTCATCATCTTTGCCTTTCCCTGCCAGTGCAGGATTGATCTTTCTTATTTCCCCCTCCCTCCTCTGCTGTCTTCTTTCTAGCTGTAAATTTCTCAAAGGACAAGGCTTCCATTACTTCCCATGGGAGGCTACTTCATATCAAGATGTTCCTACAGATACTCATCTTTGCTTCTCTCTCCTTCTACATAAACCCTTTTGTTTCTCACTAGAAGGCTTCTCTCTCCCTCGTGTTTACACATCTCAAGTATCTGTCTGCAGTCTGCATCATGTCATTGCTTCCTTAGGGCTGTTAATCTCTGCTCTGATTGTCTGACAGGTATTCCAACAGCCCTCTGGCTTTTCTTGCTACCTCAGCTTTGTCTTCAGGCTTAAGAATCAATTAGTCCAGTTTCTCTAGCAATTATGTCAGCTTTGGGCTGGTATCCACACTGAGCTGCTGCTTTCTGCATTAAAGAACTTCTTTCAGTTATCCCTGCTTTTAGATATCCATATCAGGGAATTGTAGGGATTGGAATTTGGTAGATAAAGTAAGAAAACCTGGAGCATTTTGATCTGTCAGATTAAACATACATGTTTATCTTAGTGTTTGACAAGGTATATTCTGACATAGAGTGTCCTTGTGCTCTGATCCTGCTGTAACTTACCCAAAACATTCAATCCAGTGCCTAAAGGGGCTCCAGGAAAGCTGGAGAGGGGCTTTGGACAAGGGCCTGTAGGGACAGGACAAGGGGAATGGCTTTAACCTTCCAGAGGGGAGATTGAGATGAGCTCTGAGGCAGAAGCTCTTCCCTGTGAGGGTGCTGAGGCGCTGGCACAGGGTGCCCAGAGGAGCTGTGGCTGCCCCATCCCTGGCAGTGTTCAAGGCCAGGTTGGACACAGGGGCTTGGAGCAACCTGCTCTAGTGGAAGGTGTCCCTGCCCGGGGCAGGGGTTGGAGCTGGAGGAGCTTTAAGGTCCCTTCCAACCCCAAACCATCCTCTGATTCAGTTATTCAGGTGAATGTGATCTTGTGGTGTAAGAGGCTTTGTGACCATAGTGGGCTTCAAAGAACAGCAGACAAAGGTGATAAATTCATGAAACTGCTTCCTTCCTCCAGCAAGAACAGAAAACACACTGTAATCCACATCTGAGCCTAAAGGCAACTAAATCTGCCTGCTCCACTTTAATCATACCAGGATAAGATCTCTCTTTATAACTGGCATTAATTTTCACAAAATCTTCAGGTTTTAGTGCCCCAAAATCCTGCTGTGTTGGTGAAGAGAGTCCATGAGAATAGCAGGGGCTGAGCCCATCACCTGGTATTGCAAAAGCTGGGAATTAACTGAAAACTTACCTCATTTTCTTCTCTTTTCTTTTTGAAGATTACAGATACAAAAAGGATGAGCTCTTTAAAAGGCTGAAAGTGACCACTTTTGCCCAGCTGGTACGTATGGTTCCCTCTCCGGCCTCTGGACGTTGTCATCTTTTAGGAACAGTATTTTTTTCTCTGTCTAAAACTTTGATGTTGTCATTTCCTGCAGCATTTTAACTCTTTGTACCCTGTTCTCTCCCCACTTACGTGGCCTTAGTGTGTAACTCTCCTATGTTGGCTTCTTCCTGCCCTCATAGATTTCCCTCAATACAAGCAAACCATTCAGGCCAATATTTTCAGAGCAGTAAAATGCTTTTAGTTGCAAATTGAAGTTTTTAGTGACTCTCTGAAATTTATTCCCTATTTTTTATGTCCCTTCACTTAAGAGGATCTTCAAGCCTCTTACAAAAGAAAAGGGTTATGTAGAAGAGGTTCAGATCTGATCTCCACAAGCTTTGTGTCGCAGCCTGAAGCCCTCCCTACCAGAGGCTTTTACTGCACGAGATGGGAAGGTTGTTGGCTTCAAAGGCTTCTGTATATTTTTTTACATCAAAAGTCATGAATCCAAATATTAAAAACTGGAAAGTTTGGTCAGTAAATGAAGAGCTGAGTGGTGCCTATGTGCTGGTTCATGAAAACTAATAAAAACTAGAGAAAGACAAGCTGTCCTCTAAGGAGAGAAGGTTGAACTTGCAGATGATGGAGTGGGTTTAGCAGGCTCCTGTCTTCAGTTTCCCTGGATTAAGACCAATCCTGTGCCACTCACTGGTGCCATGAACTGATTTACTGTGGGAATATCCCAGGTCTTCTCTCTGGGAATATCCCATGTGTGATTTTTAGCCAGTGCAGTGTGTGTTCTGAAATGTTCCAGTGACTGAACTGGATAAAGTCAGATGCCATTCTGGTATATGATGTGGCCAGAGTGACACATGTGGCTTTTCTTTACTCCAGAGTTGAGTGTTCCAGGGTTTTTTGCTACAACTTCCACTTAATAAAAGGACAAACCTGCAGTACAGGCATCATATACACACCTGTGTGTGACCTTGAAGTCCAGCAGAAGTTGCAATGAGTTAAATGTGGCTTGGCTCGAGGGTTGTTTTTCCCTAAGCTGATCCCTGCTCTCTTGCAGTGACATCAGTGCATGTGTATCAAGGCATTGTTGCTCTCTTTTGTCTCTGCAGGTCATCCAGGTTGCCTCTTTATCTGATGAAACCTTAGAAGTGACAAATGAGGAGATCCACAAGCTGGAAGGTAACAATATTTGTTGTAAGCACAAAGAGAAGGAGCTGTAGATCACTGTCATGTGGTGAGCTGTGCCCTCACAGACATAGGTGACTATTCAGCAGGGAAAAAATAACTTCACTTTTGGCCTGCAGCCATTTCACTTTGAACAGAAACACTCCGAAACCAGAAAGGCTGCAAGTAAGAGAGTCCTCATGCTGCCAAGTGTATTGTAGGAGCTCAGCAGATATAATGCATCAAGAACTACGCATTGAATTCCTAAAATGAGATCTTGAGCCCTTCAAAATCATACGGCTCTTTATTATTTTTAATTTGAGGCTCTCACTAAGTCATCCTTTTAAGAGGATGAAATAAGGCTGGCTTTGAGACATGCTTTCTCCTAAGAATAGAAACTGGCTTAAAACCTGCTTGCTTATTTCCTGCAGCACTTTAACTCTTTGCACCCTGTTCTCTCCCCAGATGCTGATTCTGCTGCTCCACATGCAGATGCTGAAGTCACAGAAGGGACAAACGGGAAGGGAAGCCCTGATGGGACACCCAGTCCAATCCTGTTCCTGAACAACACAGGGGCTGGGGAGTCCTATCGCTCCACACTGCAGAGGTGCCTGATGATAATACACCATTTTCTTCCTGATGTAGCAGATAATTCTTTTTATCCAGTTAGGTTTTTTGATTGCTATTAAACAGCTTTATACTGTAATTCTCATTAACACCTGATTTTGGAGGTCTGGAATTCTGAGGGAGAGAGAGCTTGGCAGGTTCTCCTGTCTGAATGAGTTTGGTTTGAGGCTGTAACCCAGCCCTGTTGCCACCAAATGATTGTGTAAATGGGTGACCAGGAAATGTATTTATGAGATTTGATCCAGGTCCTTGGGTTAAAGAATTCATGTTATAAACTGCTCTAGTAAACTCAGTAATGTGCCTTCCTGATGATGATAATGGATTGTCCCACGGTTGAGAGTAAAAGTTGGGTTTCCAAACCCTCTACATCACTAGTCAAGGTCAGAGATACCAGGAAGACATTGCAAGAGGAAGCTTTGTCTCGGCTCTTCCCTTGCAAACATTAACAGTTGAGATGCTCACCTGACAGGCTTGGTGATTGTGTATCTAAGCCATCAGTTTAGTCACCACTAAGAGCACCTGGAGGCTTCTCTCACATCCTGCACCCAATCTAATATAGTGGTGAAATGGGAAACCTCTGCACAGCGCTGCCTGTAGATGCCTGACAGTTACTCAGTGTTTCTGACTTGCTGAGATCTTGGGTCTAGTGTGAGGTGTTCCTGCCCGTGGCAGGGGTTGGAACTGGATGATCTTAAGGTCCTTTCCAACCCAAACCAGGCTGGGATTCTACGATCTTGGTGTTGGCAGCTTCTTGGTGTTATTCTCCCTCACCTCAAAGTCACTTGTGACATAAACCACCAGGAACTGACTGATCCAGAAGAGCATGGCACGTCCACATAGCAAGGCTGTGCCCTGTTTGGTTTATATATATGTGT